GCTGCACCAAGCCGTGTCTTTAAAGGCAAAAAAGACTCTGGAAAGGGTAGAACTGCTTTTAACATTCTGGACACTCAATCACCTAAATATAATGTCCTCATGGATCAGTGCTGCTGTCCTTTGTGCATTGCCCAACAACACAAGGGCTGATATGGATAAAGCCTGGACTCAAACCAACAACTCACCGCTCACAGGACAAACTCCTACGAGTCTTACCCATCAAAAGCAGAGATGTTCTCTACTCTCATTCCCGTGGGCGATCCCAAGCCAAGGTGGGCAGAGCCTTCAATACTAATGTTCCTTTTGAAATAGAAGAGACTGGCCCTCTCTGTCCTGACCTGTTCCATCCATCTCCTGTCTGCAGCCGATGCAGGTGATGGGGCTGGACAACGTCTTTATGTGCAGCATGCATGTTCAGCTCTGAGTGACTGATTATACTTAACAAGTTAACACATACACACACACACACACACACACACACACACACACACACACACACACACACACACACACACACACACACACACACACACACACACGCACACACACACACACACACACACACACACACACACACACACACACACACACACACACACACACACACACACTTCTATGGGATTGGTAAAGAACCTGATTGGCTTGAAAGGCCATAAGCGGATTGGAGTGAAAGCAAATGAAATAAGCCAGCGGTCTTCAGAGATTGAGTCATCTGTCTCCGTTTGTCTTCTACGTCCCTCAGGCCGCTGCAAATCAATCTGCAGCTGAAGAGGCCGGTGGTCAGTACGGCTTTCCACAGGGACGACTGGTGAATGGAGTCCCGTCATTTCTATTAGACTTGATCTGAAAATAATCCTGGGTCGTGATAATGAAGATGAGATGCTCCTCATTTGCTCAATAGCTTTATTTGTGCCCGAGCAGCGAAGCTGCGAAGGCCTGTTGTATCTGCCCTGTTTATTATTGTTTTCTTCCGCGCATTCAAGTGCCTTTTTGGGGTTCTTACCATATCCAAAAACTCACCAAATTCTGGCCCAATACAGAAAGTGAGTGAAATTTACGTATTTCAATGGCAATGTGAAGGTTGCTAAAAAAGTGGCTTGACAGCGCCCCCTTGAAAATTAAAAATACCCCTCCGCTTTGACCTTTTTTTTATAGTAGAGTGATGAAATTTGGTAAACTTGTAGAACTCAACAATCCATAGGGAAAACCCTGTTGCAACCATGGTCAGTATCAAAAAGTCGGCCATTTTGGGCTAAAGTAGCGATTTTGACCTTGTCTTGGTCATTTGTAAGGTCAGTATTTGGTTGAACAGTTTGGTCATTTTTCGCACAATCATCTCAAAAATAGTGTGCAATCGATCAGAAGGGACGGACGGTTGAAATGAGAAAATAAAATTGACTTTTCGTAAATACTGAAGGGGCGGGGCCAGGGCTCAAAGTTCGAGCACTTGCCAAAAAAAATCAAATGGCTATAATTTCATAAATGAAAGAATTACAGTTAAAACATTTTTTATCGACATTTCTCATTGCACCCCAAAGAAAACTGAATGGTCGATTGATGATGTCACACAAACCCCGTCTCCTCAGGACTAAAAAGGTCAAGTTGTACTATGATATTTCCCAAAATTCGCCTTTTTGTATAATCACCACAAACTTGTAGCAGGTATGTAGCAGGTAACTGAAAACACGTTGGGGTTTCTTGGCCTCACTTTACGGGAGCTTTTGAAAGACAGCGTGGCTGTGATGGTGCAGCGATGTCAGGCGTAACGCCATGGCCTTACGATTGCCTCTCATTTTGTCAATTCTAAAGCTATCGCCACGAAATCTCTTATGAGTGATCCTAGTATGATTCATAATAAAATGTTACATCAAAATGTGGTAGGCATGGCCAATTTTTTTGAAATAGCACCCCCTAGCACCCTTAAAAGTGCCAGCCCCAAGTCATGCTTTGACTGAGGATTGTGACATTTTTTACACTTATGTAGTGTCTAATGACCTACAAAAAACCCTCTTGAAGCCATGCTCAATATCCCACAGGAAGTCAGCCATTGTTGTCCAAGCATGCCATTTTGTGTTTTTTGCACACTTCAAAGGTACGTCAATCCCCAAGCGCCCTTTACCCCCATCGCCTTTAAACGTCAGCTAAATACTCTTAAGACAAAGTGGGAAAAACTGAACTTATGGATTTTCCAAAAGTCTAACGGTGTGGACGTGGCTAGGCCTCAAACTTTGACCTGTCACCACACCATGCTTTACTGTCAAAGCTCCCAAATTGACTCCTTTAACCTAATCAACATGAATCTCTGGAAAATACAAGTAGACATGTTAGGGTCACTTGGTGTCCAGTACTGGCAGGATTAAAAAAACTACGAGGCTTTGGGGGCATGGCGAATTTTGACATCACACCATGGAATTTCGTTTGCCTCTCATTTCCTCAATTCTGATGTTATCAGTACAAGAATTCAGGTGATTGATACAAATCCAAATCTCAATAAATATGTCCCTGAAAATCTGGTGCGCGTGGCTTAGTTTCTTCACTAGTTCCCCTAGGTCCAATAAAAATGTCAGCCCCAAGCCATGCTATGACTGAGGATTGTGAAATTTTGTACACTTATGTAATATCTTAGGACCTACAAAAAACTCTCTTGGAGCCATGCTCCATATCGGACAAGAAATTGGCCATTTTGGTCCAAGTACGCCATTTTGTCATTTTTGTACACATCAAAGGTACGTCAATTCCACAGCGCCCTTTTGACCTATCGCCTATATACTTCTGCTAAATAATCTTAAGAAAAAGTGGGAAAAACTGAACCTATGGATTTTTAAAAAGTCTAACGGTGTGGGCGTGGCTAAGCCTCAAACATTGACCTGTCACTACACCATGCTTAAACTTTCAGAGCTCCCTATTGGACTCCTTCCATCTATTCAACAGCAATCTCTGCCAAGTAGCAATACAAAATTTGGGGTCACTTGGTGTCTAGTACTGGCACGTTTCAAAAAAGGGCAGGGCCCTGGGAACATGGCGAAATTCGCCGTCACGCCATGGAAATACGTTTGCTTCTCATTTCCTCAGTTCTCACGATATCACCAAAAGATCTTGGGTGAGTGATCCTAGTCTGACCCCAATATAAATAGATGCCATAAGCTGGTGAATGTGGCCTTTTTTCTAAAATTGTGCCCCCTAGGACCATTAAAACTCTCAGACCCAAGTCATGCTTTGACTGAGGGTTGGGAAAAAAACTCACCAAATTCTGGCCCAATATAGGAAGTGCATGAAATTTACGATTTTCAAAGGGGATGTGAAGGATGCTAAAAAGTGGCTCGACAGCGCCCCCTGTAAAATTAAAAATACCCCTCCGTTTTGACCTTTTTTCATCCTGGAGAAGAGAAATTTGTCTCCGCATCACAACCTGACCAAGGTTCAACACACAATGTGTAGACAAAACAGGCTAAAGTCAGGCCATGAGAGCAGCCATACAAGGCACTCATTACAGGGGGTGGGCATCCCAGAGTCACCCCCAACAGGGAGTAGCTTTGCTTTGCAACAGAAAACCTGAATGTATTAGCACAGCATTAGTCAGACATGAGTCTCTTTAGGGTAGAACGCTGGGTTTGGGTCAGATAACAGCTATACACCCATCATTCCAGTTCCTGAGATAAGATGGCAAGACAGAGAGAAGTTAGGTCACTAATTCTCTTAAATGACGTCAAATCCAGCAACAATGCAGTTTTGAGGAACAAAACCTTCATTGGAACCTGGTCCAAAGGTTCAAAGGATGCCTAGGACAGCCTGCGCAGAACCATAGCCAGATCCCAGTGCAGAGTCACACATTTGTGTGTCAGCATCTGTACGAAAGACAGAATGGTGGCTAATGGGCAGGAGATGAGATCAAGTTCACTCCTCATATAAGCACTGAAACGCAGCCCCTTTAGCAGAATATGAGACCACTGTGGATGAACTGTGAGCATTCCAAATGGTCTGGATCACGTCGGGTGATAGACCAAGAGACACTGAGTGTAACCGTTTAGCAATCAAACCCACAAATGTTGATTCAGGATTTGTGGGTGTCTGCTTGCAGGAGCGCATCCTCCCCCCCAAAACAGGCGCCACAGATGCGCTGTCACCAACAGCTGCAGTTCCAAAGACCAAGGAGCTGCGCTGAGGGCTACCAGAACAATTGATAGCAGTACCAGCCCAATTCATACTAAGAGGCTGGGAATTAGCAGAACCGAGGAAAAATTTAAAATAGGAGCCTGAGCCATGATTTGTGGGCTAAGGCGTCCATACCAAACGGGAGACAATCTTGTGAGCTCTGTAACGTGAGGAAATATGAGTTTTCTATCACAAAGGTGGTGTTGGACTCAGCTGTGTCAAAGCTGGGTCGCTGAGAACTTTCACCCACAGATTAAGACCTGAACGCCAGCGAGTCTGGGAGGAAACCATAACATCTGCCACCTGCAGTCTACCAGAAGATGTGTTTACATGAGTTGTACCCAGACCAAGTCAAAACATAAAGTTTAAACTTCTTTTTCTTGATTTAATGTTAAAGTAACCATTATCATTTTGCTCATTATAAATGTGATTAATCAAATGAATGACTATTTAGCTTTGGGGTAATTATAATGGTTTAATGAATCCATTCTTAAATAATGTTGAGAATGTTTGTTACTGACCTTCACACACACTCAAGCACAAACATTCACACACATCCACACACACCTGCTCACAGTAAACTCCAGACACATTTGATGACGCACGTTTGCTTTGAGAAGAGAAAGGTTTTTGGTAAGCTTCAGTCTTTTTGATTCAGTTCGTGTTGGACACCGAGAGAGAACAGACCTGAAAACCAAAGGGGGGGCAGAGCCTGTTGGCTCGTTCTTCCCCCCTTTCACGCTGTTTCTGCCAAGCCAGGCAGAATAGCTGAATCGCAACTTCTAACGCAGACTCATTACCGAGTCTTTTGATTTCTGAGTGAATTAACTTAAGAAAGCGCGTCAACAAAACGCTTTACCATCAACGTGTACCGAGGACAACTCTGGACCGGGTCGCAGCGCATCTTTGTCTTCTCTGCCAGCCAAGGTGCCCTGGATGAAACATCCTAAGGTGACGCCCCGGATCCGAAAGAGGGTCCAAAAGAATTCGGTGAGACAGAACACGGTGTTTAGCGTTTTGATGCATCTTTTCCAACTAAGAGCCTAAGTTTATTCAAACCATCACTTTTCACTCAGACACCTGGTTCTTCCTGAAGCAAAATCAGATGCACTCACGCACCCATCCCAGCTCATATCACTCTCACCATCACAACATTCTCAATCTTCATAAATTCATCAGAAGGTCTATTTGAGCCAGAACAGCATATCAACTGTTAAAGAGATTGTCCCACAAAGTGACTAATGTTGATTGTATTTCCTGTTTGTCAATTTCAAAATCATTAGTTTAATTTGAAGAATTAAAACTTTTAAACGTCAAACTGGTTTCCTCATTGAACTGAAACACAGACACTCAGATATTATCGGCAGTTTATGGATGAAAACAACCTTTGAGTCTTCTGAACAATATAAAATTTGGTTATTGATTTATTAAAATTAATATTCCGAATTAATACGTAGCATGGTTCCTCTTTCATAAAAGAGCATAAATCCATAACGCTACATTTAATGGCGAGCGTATCCAGTCTTCTATATCTGCGATATGTCTGATTTCTTACATCTAAGAGCTACAAACAACGCTTTTCTCTGTGTTTCACTTTGATGTCTTATTTTGAACTTAACCGGAAATTGTTCCGCTCACTAAATTCTCCGACCTCAGAACCGAGACTAAATTCTCGGACACCTTTCGTCTCAGTGTGTTGACACTGTGGGCGAGCTATTGTGGAAAATATCTCCATTGCATGAGCGACTTATAGAAGCCGAATCTAAACGGAATGCCCGTAGGCACCTACTGTTGCTTGATTGCACGGTAAACGTCGTAAGCCGGGTTATGGCCGTCACGCGTTACTGCATTCAGATTGCGTGCGTTTTTTAAACGGAATGCTCGGTGACACCTGCCGGAGCTTGACTGCTCGGTAAACGTCGTAAAGCGAGGCACAGCCGTTACGCGTTACTGCATTCAGATTGCGTACGTTTTTTTTAAAGTCCGTATTAAAAGTGGAGCGAGATGCCTACTTGTTAATCGGGGAAATTTCAGTCTGGCCGCTACAGACAAAGAACGCTAGGCCTGGCCGGGGAGCTAAGCTAGCGCCACAGTTAGACAAATAGGGCACGCGTCCCGTTCAATTGTCATCATTTCTGGCACAGTCAGTCTGTGTCCTCACAAAACCCGCATTGGCGGTGATTCTTGTAAATCGCTACGGTGTGTAGAATCTACATTTTGCTACGTTTGTCCGTCTGATACCAACACGGCAGCGTAGGGTTTGTTATTTTTTTTATTATTTTTATTTTGGACCGGTGAACGGGTCGGCTTTCACAGCCTCCGTTGCTCGGTTCCATGCCTTTTTCTTCCATCTTGTGAAGTAGTGTGTATTCATTTCTCTATCAACAATTCCTTGTTTTACCCTGTGTCATAAAGTTAAGTAGGCTACGGTCAGTCCTTGTTTGTGTGAGACATATTAAGGAATCTGCCCGGAGTTTTACGTCGGCTCAGAAGGTAAAAACGCGAGTTGCTCTGAACTTAATGGGAGATGGACGAGACACGACAAAATCTTTCTTGCACTGTTACACCTGATGTAAGGTTCTCTGACGTTCTGCTTCCAGAACATGCCAAGACGCAGGAAATTCACCGGCCGAGCATCGCTGGTCCCTCCGCCCGCCCGAACGGGCCCGTTTTAGGCGGGTGCCGCCGGTCGGGAACAGTGGGGACTAGTGGCTGCGGTTCGGTGCCAGCTGCACTGGGTCGGAGGTGGTTCTGGTCTGCACTTCATGTCGTGAATTCGAGCAGCATGCTGTTTACAGTCATAACGCTTTTTCTTTACTTTTATTTCTTCCAGGGGGTCAAAAACCCACCATCAACATCAAGGTTTGAAATAAACAACACTTTCTCTGCTGCTTTTAAGCTGAATAAATCTCTTGAGCCTATGGTTAACCTCTCTGACAAACAGGTTGTGCTTAACCCTTTGGTTCCTAATGCTTCTCCTCTGTCATCCATGTTAAAGGCTGAACATATCTCCAGCATGGGTGTGCAATCTTCAGGCTGTGATCCACCGCTTCAGTCAGAGGTCTGTTTTACTCGTCAGTCCGCTTCATGCACAAACCAGCTTCTTTATCGGGGCGTGATGGAAACGTCAGCCGCCGTGAAACACTTGTGGTCTCCGGACGGAGCTACCATGCCATTTAAGGGGTTTGTGCCCGGACATCTTGACCTTTATGTGAATGACCTTGTCACTTTTCAGTTTGTGACCTCTGCTAATACGGTGGCCAATTCTTTTCTCCTTTCACAGGGGTGTGACTTAGTCTCGGGCCTCTGTGCTCTCTTTCCTGTGATTTCTCTTACAGGTGACCACGACGACACAGAAAACCCTGCGGTTTCCAGCAGTCCTGTGGTCAGTGGCGATATTAAAGGTGGCTCGGTGGTTGCTGCGATCATCTCTCTCACGGGCCCGGGGGTGCCACCCGGCCCAGGAGGTGTAGGTGCGTGCAGTGATGCTCTGGTCGGGGCCCCTCCTGACAAAAGGGGGGTGCCGAGTGGCACTGAGTTTTCCGTGGCGGACTTCAGGCTGTTCGGGGGAACGCCTCCTCTGAGCGGGCGGGTCATTGCAGAAATCGACACTGACCTTCCACCAATTCGGCTGACAACATTGACCTCCGACCCGGAGTTAGGTGCAGCACCTTCTACGGGGCGGAGTTCTAGTCAGTCTGTAACTACTCTGGTTAAACCGGGTTTTTCTGATTCTGTGTGGGAACCTCCATCATTCTTGGGAATAAAGTATTCTTGGTTTCAGTTTTCAGGACAGAACATGTTCCTTTCGATAGCGTCATGTCTGTATCTGATTCTAAACATGGCTAGGTTTGCTTTGACACCCGTGACACAACCATCCTTGGATCACTCCTTTTCAGAACCTCCAAGTCCAACACCTCCAGGTCTTTGGACATCTGAACACCTACTCTTTCAGCACGATTCAGGTGACAATGTGCATCTTCTTGGTATTAGGGCTTTTAAGAGCTTAAGAACTGTTCTTTGTTATGCTTCTCCTGTCTCACAGACACGGCATAAGTTTGAGAAAAAAAAGGGGGGTGGGGAGCCTCCTCCCGCTTTGCGAGCATCAGTTTCGCATTTCCAGTTCACTACTATTTCTGATCACAACAAAGTCGCCTCCGTAAAGCTGCAACCCAACTTTGAGCAGGTAAAATCAGGTTCTGATCTAACAGCTACACCATCAGCTTCGCTCCAGTTCCAAACGGGACCCTCAGGTAAATTCAAACAAGTTTCCCTGTGGGTTCGTAACACAAGATACAAACAGTTTGATAACCAAATCGCTTATGAGCCTGCTCCCACAGATACGTCCAAACTCGTGTCTCTGTGGGTCCGCAATACCAGATTCAAAACTCTATTCTGACCGACTATTCTGACCGGATTCTTTTCCACTGACTGGTGGACCGTTACAAATTCTCTCGTTTGTGGGATGAATTTTTAACAAATGTGATATCCTTTGAGTTTTTTTTTTCAGGTTACCTGCCTCCAGCCAGGGTCCTGTTACTAACTCACATCTTTAGGGAATACTAACCTACTGAGTTACATTTTTAGAACTGATTTACATCTCTATCTTTTCTTAGTGCTTTGTGTAGCATGATTATATTTGATTACAAATTTAATTTTATTTTCTTGCTATTTCCCTTAAAGGGCCACAAGCCAATTTGCCCTTCATTTTCATGATTATTATTTCTTTTATATACATGCCTTTAATTAGTGCAGCCTGCTGAGTTTCACATATCAGTTAGGATTTACTTTCTTTTATTTGTGTTTTCACTGCATCACGTTTTTACATGACACGTAGAACAGGGTGCAGAACATTTCTTCTTTAGATAATTCACAAAAGGCACCCACATTTTCCCAGAGGCACCCATAGATAGGTTTTGATTGATTTCTTTGTTTTGCATCAAATGCTATCTATCGTGTGGGCTGTCTCACTTTGTCTCCTTCTCCGAGCTCGTATGGACTACATTCCATCAGAGGGGTCGTCTTCACCATCCTTCAACTGGTTTCCTGTCGCATGGGGCTTCGGTCGTGGTTCGAGATGGGTCGAGGTCTGCGCCGGACTTCGCCTGGACTACGCCTGGGGAATACATCACCTGCCCAGCTCCGTGTGGCACACGAGCTGCTTATCCTTTGCATACCTTTGCATTATTGCTGATGAAAATTAACTGCTATTGAAATAGCTCTGCTTTCAAGATTCCTAAGTGGATTACTTTACAATGATTGCAACAGTTTTGGCCTTAATCATCTGATCAGGATAGACTCCCTTCTGCACGAGACCTGTGGTGACGCTTCATCGTTCCTGCCTTCATCTGGGATGTCTACCTTCACGAGTACATCACGTTATTGTGGTTGTGACGTCAGGTGGCCTCTGCTTGACCTCCATGTCGTCACAAAAGGGGGGAATGTAACGTGAGGAAATATGAGTTTTCTATCACAAAGGTGGTGTTGGACTCAGCTGTGTCAAAGCTGGGTCGCTGAGAACTTTCACCCACAGATTAAGACCTGAACGCCAGCGAGTCTGGGAGGAAACCATAACATCTGCCACCTGCAGTCTACCAGAAGATGTGTTTACATGAGTTGTACCCAGACCAAGTCAAAACATAAAGTTTAAACTTCTTTTTCTTGATTTAATGTTAAAGTAACCATTATCATTTTGCTCATTATAAATGTGATTAATCAAATGAATGACTATTTAGCTTTGGGGTAATTATAATGGTTTAATGAATCCATTCTTAAATAATGTTGAGAATGTTTGTTACTGACCTTCACACACACTCAAGCACAAACATTCACACACATCCACACACACCTGCTCACAGTAAACTCCAGACACATTTGATGACGCACGTTTGCTTTGAGAAGAGAAAGGTTTTTGGTAAGCTTCAGTCTTTTTGATTCAGTTCGTGTTGGACAACGAGAGAGAACAGACCTGAAAACCAAAGGGGGGGCAGAGCCTGTTGGCTCGTTCTTCCCCCCTTTCACGCTGTTTCTGCCAAGCCAGGCAGAATAGCTGAATCGCAACTTCTAACGCAGACTCATTACCGAGTCTTTTGATTTCTGAGTGAATTAACTTAAGAAAGCGCGTCGACAAAACGCTTTACCATCAACGTGTACCGAGGACAACTCTGGACCGGGTCGCAGCGCATCTTTGTCTTCTCTGCCAGCCAAGGTGCCCTGGATGAAACATCCTAAGGTGACGCCCCGGATCCGAAAGAGGGTCCAAAAGAATTCGGTGAGACAGAACACGGTGTTTAGCGTTTTGATGCATCTTTTCCAACTAAGAGCCTAAGTTTATTCAAACCATCACTTTTCACTCAGACACCTGGTTCTTCCTGAAGCAAAATCAGATGCACTCACGCACCCATCCCAGCTCATATCACTCTCACCATCACAACATTCTCAATCTTCATAAATTCATCAGAAGGTCTATTTGAGCCAGAACAGCATATCAACTGTTAAAGAGATTGTCCCACAAAGTGACTAATGTTGATTGTATTTCCTGTTTGTCAATTTCAAAATCATTAGTTTAATTTGAAGAATTAAAACTTTTAAACGTCAAACTGGTTTCCTCATTGAACTGAAACACAGACACTCAGATATTATCGGCAGTTTATGGATGAAAACAACCTTTGAGTCTTCTGAACAATATAAAATTTGGTTATTGATTTATTAAAATTAATATTCCGAATTAATACGTAGCATGGTTCCTCTTTCATAAAAGAGCATAAATCCATAACGCTACAGCTCAAAGAGAACCACAGTTTGCAGAGTGTGCTCTCGCATCACAGACGCATCCATGAAACTCTCCCAAAAAGAAACACGAGCTCGGGGTGGTGACACCACTCCCAAGTGATGTGGGCCACATATGGACATGATGTCTGCTTTAACATCAAAATGCCCAGGCTGCAAACCACTTTTATAGACAGAAGGTGTGTCTGAGCCCAGCACAGAAGTGTTCTGGCTACCCACAGAAGCATGGCAGAGTGAACCCCACTTTAGCGGATCACATTTGCGACTTGGTTGTCCGAGTGAACAGCAACATTGTAGATTGGAGCAGAGATGCAAAGTGGAGAATCGCTTTGTGGATCATCAGGACTCATAACACATTTAGGTGCGCATGAATTCATGGAGGCCAGCTGTCGCCCACTGAATGGTGTAGCGACATGAATGGCCTCATTTGTGACCCAAAGGTCACAGTTCCCCAGCTAGGTCGAGCTGGGTCGAGCTGGGTCGAGCTGGGTCGAGCTGTACTTTGTCCCACAGATCATTTATCACAGGAGATGTACAGTCTGCTAAAACCATCTTTAATCTGACTGCCTTTTATCTGTCTGCTGTTCCTCCACAAGATGAAGGACACTTCAAGATTTAAAATAATCATTTTTAATAAACTCTTTTTACTGTTTATTACAAGGTTCATTATAATCATCATAAATAATCATCATGGTTCATTATAAATGTATTTAATTACTGAAATGACTTATTATTCTTTGGATTAATAATAATTATAATTTATGGTAATCAGTAATGTTTAACAGTGTGAAGAAGGTCATTTGCACGTGTACACACCATGCAGTAGGGACAGACCAGGGTAAAGGTAACTTGCTCTCACATGTCTTTGCTCCATAACAACAAGCTTTCTGTCTCTGAGAGGGCGTGTCCTGAGGTTTTGTTAAAACCAAACTCCTCAGCTCAAGCTGCCGGTTCTGAACCAACCAAAAGCTCTCGGTGGCACGAGAGTCTATGAGGATAAGGGTCGGCCGCCCTGAAGCCTCCACCTAAGCTGTTCTGTCACGCCGATTGAATCGCTCCGAATAAACGCCACCTGCACCAGCTGACGCAAAACTCCTTTAGAGTTATTGATTTTTGGGACGCAACCAGTTCATCAGTCGTTGTGACCCAGAGACATCTGAGGACCGATTTGGTCGCACCAAGGTCTTTCTACCAACCTCGTGCTCGGAGGTCATCATCTCCACCTGACATCTCGGATCCAACAGAGGGTCTCCTGACTGGGTGAGGTAGACACTTCCGACAGATGGCGTCTGTATGCTGTTCTCTCTAAGAAACAACTTAGTTAGCTGCAAAACAACTTTTCCACCCAGAACGCGTTTCTCTGTCTGAGATTCATCCACGCATCCAAACCCACGCATTCCACTTTAGTTTCCATTCAGACAAAGGGTTGCTTTTAATTCCAAGTTTAATATCAAAGCTGTTATAAATTGTCATTTATACATTTTCATCTTTAAATTGTTAGTAATAAATTCTTAACATTTTAAACCTGACTCTTCTTTGAAATGAAACACAGAATGGTGTATATTTGGTTATTGAACAAGCAAATATTCCATTAAGTCTTCTGTTTAATAAATAAACTTTTGCTATTAATTAAATTTCTTAAATTAAATATTAATCTTTGGATTAAATATAGACCAAGCAGGTTGGTGTATGAACTTCTATCAATTGTATAAATATTCTGGATATTTATACATGATATAGCTTCATATGCTAATATTGTTTGATCTTTCTCAGGATCTAACAAAGCTGATAGCGTTAAATCCTAATATGTAGATTATCTACGCTACAATGGGACAAACATGTAGTCCCCACCCACCTTTACAGAATGAGGCTGTAAAAATTGAGACATGGGAGGCCACACAGCCAGGCGGGACTCCTCCTCTCAGGATTTGGGGAATACCTGATGTTGCAGATCCCTCCTCACCGAGGAAGGAATGGACAAGCTGTAACGCTTGTGGTGGATCAGGCAAACTTTGAGACGTCTGAGCCAACGTTGAATGCGTCTCATCATGCTCATCATTCAAATGACGGTCAGTGCCGTCACAGAGTGACATGTGCGCATGTGCGTGAGCCAGGGGCGGAGCTTGATATGTGCAACATGTGCGGCCGAACAGGGCGGCAGTCTGCAGGGGGCGGCATTTAATTTCCTATTTTTTTTTTCTAAAAAAAAATTTTTTTTAGCATCAACCAATACATAAACAAAACATAGAAATCGCATGTTCTTAATAATAATAGCGATGATAATAATACTATTTCTGTAATAAAAGCACAACAAAGTGTAACCCATATCAAATACTCCCTGTCACATGACCCACGTCAGCTGATGTGAGGTCCCTCTCCTGATTTGCTCCTTCCAGTCGCGGCAACCATGAAAGCTGCTCCTGCTGTGGCTGTAAGCTTGTTGCTTGTAGAACGGCGTGGGAAAACAAAGCGTTTTTCTCCCCTCAATTCATTTATACTCTCATTTTACCTCAGCAGTAAGTGTTCTTAACATCTACCAATAACACCCTTTTACTTGTCAGTGACCAGTCGATCGTTTTAGCTATAAAAAATGACCTTGTTTGGCGGAGTTCCCACCGGGAGCAGAACTCCGGTTCGAAAACGCTGTTTTTGAAACACTTTTATTTACTTAAGCACTTTAATGGGCTTAACTTGAAACCAAGAGCAATCGAATGATTATTGTTATGTGTTGCCTTTAATTCGGCTATGCTGTCTGTCAGACAGTTGTTTTCCTTTATTGTTGCTTTTGTATTTGTTTGTAGCA